GCATAGGAGTAAAGCTTATAGATTATACAATCCCTTGACAAAAAGGGTAATCATCTCAAGAGATGTGGAGTTTGACAAAACAGATTACTGGAAATGGAATGATGAAGAAAAAAGAGTAGAAGGCTTATTCTTTAAAGATGATGATAACACAACAGAGCAAACAGTTGAAGCAGGCAATGATCAGACACCTCCACCAAGTCCTAACCCAACAACTCATGCATCTACACCCTCAACCTCAGGAAGCAATAGCAGTAGCAGTAGCAACAATTCAGGGGGAGCAGCAGCAAAGATGAGAAGCTTAAGTGATATCTATGATGCTACAGATCCGGTACAAACTACCCTTGATTATTCATTATTTTGTTTAATAGCTGAATGTGATCCAGTGACATATGAGGAAGCTGTAGAAGATGAAAAGTGGAAGAAAGCCATGAATGATGAAATTGCTGCAATCAAAAGAAATGACACGTGGGAGCTCACAACTATGCCTGAGAAACATAAGCCCATCGGAGTAAAGTGGGTGTACAAGACAAAGACTAATCAAGAGAGAAAAGTGGATAAATACAAGGCAAGATTGGTAGCTAAAGGCTGCAAGCAGAAATATGGAATAGATTATGATGAGGTGTTTGCACCAGTTGCAAGGATTGACACTATCAGACTTCTTACAGCAGTTGCAGCACAAAAGCAATGGGAGATATACCAGATGGATGTGAAATCAGCCTTCCTCAATGGTTACCTGGAAGAAGAAGTCTATATTGAGCAACCACCAGGTTATGTTAAAAAAGGAGAAGAAAATAAAGTCTATCGGTTGAAGAAGGCACTATATGGATTGAAGCAAGCTCCAAGAGCTTGGAACACGAGGATAGATGAATACTTTCATAAGGATGGATTTGTGAAGAGTCCGTACGAACATGCTTTGTACACGAAGAAGAATGAAGATGGGGATATGATGATCGTATGTCTTTATGTGGATGATATAATCTTTACAGGGAATAATCCAGGTATGTTTGTTGAATTTAAGAAAGCTATGACTAAAGAATTTGAAATGACAGATATTGGAGAAATGTCTTATTTTCTTGGAGTTGAAGTAAAACAAACAGAAGAGGGAATTTATATGTTACAAAAGAAGTATGCAGAAGAAATACTGAGTAGGTTCAGAATGAAAGATTGCAAGCCTATTTCAACACCAATAGAAGCAGGAACAAAGTTGAAAGCTGAGTCAGATAGAGAACCAGTAAACCCAACACTATTCAAAAGCCTGGTCGGAAGCTTGAGGTATTTGACTTTCACTCGACCAGATATCATGTTTGCAGTTGGTCTAATTAGCAGATATATGGAGAATCCAAAGCAGGATCATTTCAGTGCAGCAAAGAGAATTTTAAGATATATCAAAGGAACCATCAGTCATGGATTATTCTATACACATTCCCAAGATTCAAGGTTAATTGGCTATGCAGATAGTGATTATAGTGGAGATGTAGATGATCGAAAAAGCACTTCAGGATATGCTTTTCATATTGGCTCAACAATATTTTCATGGTCATCAAAGAAACAACAGACAGTTGCTCTATCATCATGCGAAGCTGAATACATAGCCGCAGCAGCGTGCACGTGTCAAGCGATTTGGTTAGAGAATATTTTGAATGAATTTCATTATGAGCAAGAAGGTCCAATTACAAAATACGTAGATAACAAGTCTGCTATATCACTTGCAAAGAATCCAGTCTCCCATAGCCGAAGCAAGCATATTGACACGAAATATCATTTTATTCGGGAGCAAGTTAAAAACAAAGTTGTGGAATTAGTCTATTGCAGAACTGAAGAACAATTGGCAGATATTTTTACAAAGCCATTGAAGACGGATGTATTCAATAAGTTCAAACATATGATTGGTATGCAAAATCGAATTTGAAGGGGAGTGTTAGAATACAAATTCAATCTTGCCACTAATTTCTTCCACCGCTTGCTAGAAGAATCAAGAGCTGTATCTCAACTTACACCTAGCATTCATTTCCACGTGTATTGTTTGTTGGAATGATTTCTGTCAAAGCGGTTAGGAACTTGTGACGGTAAAAGGAAGACAAAATCAAATTGAAGTGGATAGCAAAAGTTGGCAACTGTGCTGGCCATCAAAAACGGCAAAACAAATGACTATAAATAGAGATACATGTTAAGCTATTAGTATGAGTGTTGTATAAAAAATAGAGAAAAAAGAGAGAGTGCCGAAGCACTAAATTATAAGAAAAGTATTAGAGAGAGACGAAAGTTCAGAGAGTTTTTTTGTACTCCAGCAAATTTTTTCAATACACTTCAAAGTTGTGTTTCATTTTCTGTGTTCATCTTCATATATTTTCTTTATTTTCTCTAAATTTCCAACAGAAACAATATGGATCATACAAAGCACAAGTGATTTCATATGTTTCATCAGCGACACTCCCTTTACTTGGAGTTCAATAAGCAACCCATTACTACTCTTTCAACATGTGAATCCGAGTATGTAAGACAGTAAGTGGAAACTCTCTTGTATTTGTCATGCAATTTGGTTAAAAAGGTTATTCAAGATGCTGCATATGTTTAAAGATGATGTTACTACTATTTTTACGGACAACAAATATACCATTGCAGTGGGGAAAGAATCTTACTTTTCATGATCAAAGGAAATAGACAGCTAAAAAGTTTTATTTCGTAAGGGAGTGTATTGAAAATAAAGAATTTGAGTCCACTTATGGGAGAAGCAATGACCAAGCAGTCGATGCTTTCACCATGGGTTTGAAGTATGAAGATTTTGTGAAGACGCGGCATGGGTTTCAAGTTTAAGAGAGTTTTGGAAATTTCATAAATTTGATATACTCACTTAATTATTATTCATGTATTGTCATGTTCATATATATATTTGAAGGTTCTAATTATTTACTTGTACATGTACTTAGTTAATGAATGCGTTTAATATTTATGCTAAGCTCATTGTTATTTTCTAAAGAGATATTATGTTTACTAATATGTGGTGTTGAATTTGAGTTTGTTATATGTATCCCAAGAAAAAGGATTATTGGGTATGATTCATATTTCACCTTATAAATTGAGTGTTGTGATGGGTGGAGTGATGAGAATATAGTAAATATTGTTGAACATAGCCCATATTGGATGAATCAAGGTAAATTTCGTGTCTTTGTTTTCTTCCCTTCTCTCTTTACTATATTGCGATCGCGTGTGTGTTTGTGTTCACTGCCAACAAGGATAAGAGCAAGTTCAATTTTGAGTCAAGAATGTAGTGCATACCCAAGTTGCCATATTTAAACGGGAAATATTCATGCAATAGAAAATTCATAAATTCATTTTTAACGAACTTCATATTCTAATTTTGTGGTAATAACTTCATTTTTAACGATTACCATCAGATTCCATCTGATAAACAAGAGAAAACTAGCTCATATATAAGGGGTAATCTATATATGCACAGATATTTGCAAACATTACCAATATCTAAGACACCGGAATATATTATTAACAAATGTAAGAGTCTATTTAATGTTTCCTAATTCCTACTACAAAACAGTCATAACAGCACAAATCATTGTTTGGGTACTCACGATAAGGGCTAAAGAAGGATGCCACAGGAAGCAGATTAGTTCTACTAACTTAAGTAGTTTCTTCTTCTTAGTTATACTTAATTGCTAACACAATTGGCAACCATTCTGTGTCTGTGCTCTTCACTTGAGATGAAAAGCAAGCAATATGAAAAAATTTCTTCTTCCTTCACATTCAAGGTTTCAAGCAAATTAGTGAATCATCTAAAACTATAAGAGAGATAAAAGTATCACTATATATACATACACAAAAAGTTATATATGATTTTGAATTGCGGACTGCATCATCTTGAAGTTTACGACCGCAATATTGCTGTTGATGTGGGTTCTGCAGCTACAATTGTTGTCCATTGCAAGTGCCGTTTAGGTGTAAAAGGCAGTGGCATAAGCCTCGAACAAATTAATGTTGTCACCTTTTCGTTCGGTGAGACTACATTAATGATTTTATATTTTTTTAATATGCCCCTATACAAGAGCCCATCAAACTTGAAAGGGGATGATGCATTAGGTTCATCCTATTTGTGCTAAGAAACTTTACAATATTTAATATTTTTATTAATAGTATGGGGGCGGTAAAACTCGAACTCATGACCACTTAATCACGTCAGTTCTGATATGTAACGAGCCAATTCAATCCAAAAGATTAAGTTGTTAGGTGAAACTAGCTATATGAATAATTTTATACTTTTCTAACAATAACCAGAGATATAATCATTGTTAAAGTGGTAATTTCATATGGAGATGGTACTAGTAAGTAAGCAAAGATCGGAAATCAAATTGAAATATATGTCCTAACACCAATAGTTGAATATATATGCTTGTTTATTTTATTAATACCTTATTGTGTGTGGCAAAATGTCCTCTAACATCTAAGTATAAAATTAAAAATCAAATATATAGAAAAACAATTCATAAGCTAAACATACACTCAATATCACAGATAACTCTTCTAGCAATATACTCGGTATCAAAACTCAGTGGCATTCAAGTAAAAATGATGGGTGAAAATTGAAACCTTGATTAATTATCCAAGAAATCTCAAATACATACACATGATAGATAAAAGATATCTCCTGGCAAATTAGGTCCATAATTTTTTACATTCAATTACAGTCACAAATGAGGGAGAAGCTTGCAATGCAACAATTAATGCACAACTGTGAATTTCGGAAAGCAAAGACACAACAAATAAAATTTTTGATCTCCTCAATTTTCCTTTCTTCTTCCCTCTTTTTCCAGAAACAAAAAGCCAAAGTCTTAAATCAAAGAGAGAGAGGGGGCAATAGCCAAAGTAAAATTGCAAGCAAACTCATCCAAACAAATTCTAGTTAACCAGTTAGAAAGGTCTAACATGTTACATGTTAATTTCCAGTCATTGGCCAGATTGTGAGAACCTAGCTAGCTCCAACCACAAATTTAATCTGAAGATCTAAGTGTTGGAATAACATTGGAAACTTTCCTTTTCAGCTCAGATAAATCTACACTGTTGGAATTGCTAACCTGGGAATCAAGTTCAATAGGGAAAATATATAATTCTAGAGTAAATTTTAATTTAATATATATATATATATATATATATATATATATATATATATATATAAAAGAAATTAAACACTGAACTTCTTACCTCGCACTGGACACTTTGGAACAATTTTCCATTAACATCGGTTGAAAGGCAACTAACAACTTCAAGTCCTTCATCAAGCAGTAATTGAAGTAACTTTGAAAGTTTGAGACTTTCCTCTCTGAAACCACTGGTGATTTCGATTCCCACAATACCATTATTCTCATGGAGAGTGAAGTTGCAAGATGTGTGCTTGCTCTCTTGGTTTTCCATCTTGGAATTGGAGAGTTTCTTCAGTTCATCTCTCTTGGCACCAAGTTCTTTGATATTATTCTGCATGTGTTTTATGTAATTCACTGCCTCGTTCATGTGATCAGACATTGAACGCTTTCCCTGAAAACCCATCAGGAAATAAAACACCCAGAAAATTTCAAACACAGCAAAAAAACCAGGAAGAAAAAAAAAACCGGGAACAAAGATTCATCAAACACAGGAAAACATATCCCTATTAGAAACTCATGGAGTAGCCTGATTTCAAGGGTATACACTAATTAAGATAAATTAATAAGTGGATTCAGAAAAAGAAATTTAAAAAGAAAGAACAATCAAACATGAAATTTTCACCTTGATGAACTCAAGAGGGAGAAGGGATCTGAGAGAGGCATAAAAGGTTGCCATTTCTTGCCTCCTTTGCCTCTCAATCTCTCTATGAACAATCTTCTTCTTCTTCTGTTCATTAGAAGCACCATGATTCTTATCACCCCCATAAGATAGTTTCTTTCTAGTGCTGAGTTTTTTATCACAATCGTTTACATCCAGAGAAGCATAATCATCCAGAATCAAATCTTGGGAGATTTCGTGTTGCTCGTGGTGGGGGCTATTGGAAAACTGGATAACCAGCTCATTGCCTCGTTGTAAAGGAAACATGGTTTGCTCCAAATTAACCTCACTTTCGGATATGGATGCTAAAGAAGAAGATACATTTCATTTGGGTAAGTAAGCTATTTCTAACTAGCTTTCATGAGATTGAGGATCTCACTTGCCAAAGATTCTTCTATATATCTTCACAGGGAAAGTCATAGTACGTTAGAAGTGACCTCATTGGCAATATTTTTTTATATTATAATTATTTGATGTCGCTGTTCATAAATGCAACTGCAACCCCTCCCATTCGTGTTCACATTATGTGGATCAGCACTTACTCAAGCATTTATTTCTAAATATAGATATATATTAAATGAGTTTTATAAGAATTATGTCGTAGGAAAAGTGATTGTGTAATGTTATAGAGATTCGTTTTGTGTGTCTTAATTTTTTTTTTTTTTGGTTTCAAAAAATGCGGGCCTCACAAAAATATTGTGTGTGTAAGAAAAAAATTTGTGTCATGTGACATGATTATGTAAACCCCATATTAAATAACAAATTCATTTCCCTAAGGTGGTTTTTTTGTATTATTATTGAAACATTGCTTACTTTAGCCTTATATTTTGAAAAAAGAAAACTATGTTAAATTTACATTTTATATATTGGTATTACCATAGTTTAGAAGTAATAAGTTAAGGCTTCCATAAAATTATCATATATTATAAAATTATGGACCTACAAAAAAATTGAGAGTATGTAACTTCAAACCCTCTAATAGACTATGTTATTCTCATTGTCTTTCTCCCCTCCCTATGGGCACCCTGTGGCCTTTCCCAAGGCATATATCTATGTTGGTTCTCCCTTAAACTAGAAATGTAATATCTAAATAATATTATAATTTATTTAATTCATATATGTATATTTCATTGGTGATATATGCTTATTTTATTTATAACAATAATATTATCATAATGTGTTTTAACATTTGTATAAATATAAGAAAAATAATAAATAAATAGGTTAACATTTAATGTCATTAAGAAAAAGTCATCAAAATATAATTAAGATGGAGTTAGAAAACTGATTTATAAAAAAACAAAGAGTGATAGTTTGTTTTTATGTTTTAAAGATTTCAATTAACATGTCAAATTTTTTTTATAATTAAATTAAATTATATAATTATGAAACTTAAAATATGAGTCTCTCCATTATATTTTACGAAAAGTTTCTTGAATAATTTTAGTCAAATATTTTTGTTATAAAATTTTCTTTAAACATTTTAAATTAATTTTGAATATGGACTTATTTTTTATTTATTGTGTCAAAAATTCATAATTATAAATATTGAATTTAAACAATTCACGGGTAAGACTAGTTAATTGAGTTAAAGATGCACGAACGAGAATACAAAAAAATCAAAGAAAAATGCACGAATGATATCAACTGAAATAAATTAGCATTTCGTTCACCGTAAAAATAAATAAATTAGCATTTCAACTCAAAAGGCGTCGAATGATTATGAATACGTTGCCTGTTTAAAAACATGACAGATAAGCAGTCGTCGGTAAGAAGGGGTGCTAAACGAACCATGGGCCTCGGCTCGTGAAGGTCTGAACTTACATTTCTAAAATTGGTTATTGACACAAGGCTTGAACTTGTATAAAAGCTCGTTTAATAAAAAAGCCTTAGGCTCCAATTCAAAATTTTGGCCCTAGTATATTATTTTTTATATTTTATACTTTTATACTACTTGTAATAGATTCTTTTTCTCCTTAATCCATTTCACCCCATTTTATTGGTTAAATAGACTTTTTTAATGATTTTGTTCTATATTATACTGTTTGGATATATATTGAATTTATGAATATTTAAGGAATTATTAGTGTTGTTGATTGTATATTGTGTTTGGATAAATTTTTGTTGTCTTATTTTTTTAGGCTAAACCAGATTTTTATTTTTTGTAAATAAGTCAGGCCACATGCCGATAATTATATTTATAACAGATAACAGATTTGGTCAGACTGACACATTTAAATATAGGCTTAGCCTTTTAAGATCAACGCTCGTCTCGGCCCAATCCATTAACACCCTGTATGTAAGCACAAAATAACGTTATATTTTGGTTTAAGGAAAAGTCTCGAAACTGTTTTTTTTTTTTTTTTTTTTAAAGTCTGGAAACAGCATAATACGATGAAATACAAGTTAACTATGTGCACTTTTCGGTTAAAAGATAAGAGTTTAGTGTTTGTCCTTATAAATTAAAAATGTATATAAAAAAAATTAAGGGAAAAAAGTAAGTGTTTTTATTTTAAATTTAAATTTTAAATAAAAAATATTATATTGTCTTTTTCTATCCCTTAAAATTACATAACTCTATATCTTTTAAAATGAAAAATATTTTTCTGAAAAGATAAACCAAATAGGTATATAATGATAAATGAATAAATTTCTGAGGTAAATTGACAAAACTCAACCCATATGATAATACAAAAATATCAAGACAGATTACAGGGTGAGAAACATTATAAAGTTAAATCTAACCTTTTATTTTTATTTTTTGGGTAAATAAAACCGCGTGCAGAATCGCGTGCACCGTGCCTTGAAATGTAACTTGTTTTAAACAACTTTATAATCGTAAATTAGTCTATGATTTTATATTTGATTATGGGACAATGATTGATTCCATTGCCCTATCAAAGTCCACGGGCAATGTTGGAAGTCCATGTCCAACATCAAGGTTATCTGTACATATGTTGAGAGATACTATAAATAACCACCAAACACATAGGTCATTTGGTATAGAATTGTTTTAACTATAATTATATTATTGAACCAGATTAGTGGAGTGATCAATAAACAGATGGAGAAATCCAGAAAAAATGATAGTGCAAACAGAAAATTATAACACAAGTGATTGAATTATATGATAAATTTTTGTATTATTAATTGTTTGATGAATAATACACCATTATATATAGTGGTATTATGGATATAATAAAATAAAAATAATACTTTGTGTTGCACTTATTATTTAATTTGATGCACAATAAAGATAGGATAATATGGAAATATATACTGTTAGTTTTTTTTTTTTTTGTACTGGGAATAATAATTGCAACTGTATTTAATGGTAACAAAAGTTTATAGCTTTGTGTTATTTATTGATTTGTTTTTTATTTCGTATTTATATAATTTAAACAATCAAATAAATCATAATTTTTTTATGCGTATCTTATTTTTAATATCTTATTTAAGGCCCTCAAAGATCACAAACCCTAACAAAGAAATCTACTTCTTTTTATAACCATTGGAAGCCTCTTCCTACCGAAAAAAGAAAAGAAAAGAAAAGAAGCCTCTGGGACAAGATGAATAAAAATTGCCTTTCCAGCAAGCAATGAGCTGTCTTTGACAGTTCCTTTCATAACCACTAAATCTCACAGGATGGAAGTGAGTGTTAGTTTGTATGGATTTTCAAAAAAAAAAAGTATTTTTTATGTATTATTTATTTTAGAAATATTTTTTATAAAAATAAAAGTTATTTAGATTTTAAAAAAATATTATATTTTTGAAAAAATATTTGACTATTAACTTTTGTATTTTTTAGAAGTTATAATTTTTAGTTTTCAAAAAAGTAAATTTTTTATTTTTTTATGATTTATACTTATTTTTAAAAGTAAGCGTCTAAATGGATTTTTTTTCGAGAAATACTTTTTTTATCAAAAAAAAAAAAAAAATTGAAGACAAAAAATCATCCAAAGAAATACATGTCAGCAGAAGGACTAATAGATCATAAGGACCAAGTGTACGTGGTTGGTTATTAGACCATGACTAAATAAAAAGGGCAGTTAATTACCAGGTATTTCACAAATAATTTTTCTCTGTCTGGCAATATTATTTTTTATTTTATATGAGATAATTTATCTCATGTAATATAAAAAAGTAGATAGAATTCATTTATTTTTGTTCTTTTTTCTCTTTAGTGAATCTTATTCATTTTTTTTGTGTTACATGAGATAAATTATCTCATTCAACATAAAAAATAATATTTCCTTTTTTTTAATATATGTAGTAATCAGTTTATCTTCGACTAGTTTGATTCAAGCATCGTTGTATTCCTCGTAGGGAGCGGCTCTTCAAAGATCATCTTCTCCATTTTTAGGGCTCAATTTCCAGACATTTGATTAAAGAGAATAAGCTCTTATTACTTAAACCAATGGTTGTTGGTTAACATCCCAATTTCAAATACCTCTTTATTTCCTTTTATTAATGCTAAACACCCCAAAAGTTTACACCATACCGTTTTATTCAAAACAAAGTGTTAATCAATATTATGTGAGGACTTTGTTGGTAGGTGATATATAATCCCTCCCAGAAATCTTCAAAGAGGTTGAGAGGTCTTCCCTAACCCTAGTGGGATACTAGTGTCTAGCCCCGCTTAGACTTTTTGTAATCCAAAAAAAAAAGTGTTCATCAATATTAGAATTACTATGTCATCTTATGGCTAACAAATGGAAGTAAAGTCGAAGATACGGAGAAAGAATTAGGAGAACAGAAATTTAGATTTATTTATTTTTTCCCATGGCATTATTTAATCCAGTTGATGTACTGTTGATACTTAAGTGAAGTGCCAGACAACTTAGAGTAAATTCTCTATTAAGGCATACCATGTTTATTTTTTTAATTTTTACTTGTAGTTATACAAATATTACATTGTTTTTACTCTTTTTCTTGCTTTTAAAATTTTGGAAAGAACATGCAAAAATAAACTAAATGGAAATAATAAAAAAAACAAGAAGGCTTATTTTTAAAGTATTATTAGAATGCTACTTGATAATCTCTTTTTCAAGTTCGGTAATTTTATCCTGATCCAAACTCGCCTAATATGGGATGGGACCGGTGGGAGTCCTGTCTCCCTCCACGCTTATTCTCTGAATAAACATCCCTATATATCTTATTAATAAATTCAATTATGTTAATTTATATGTAAATCCCAAACATATTTTTTAGTTTTTATAAGATATTGTAATATATTAATGTTAATATTGTAACTACTATTGTATAAA